AGATAAGATAAGATAAGATAAGATAAGATAAGATAAGATAAGATAAGATAAGATAAGATAAGATAAGATGAGGTGAGGTGAGGTAAGGTAAGGTGAGATAAGATAAGGAAAGGTAAGAAAACGTAAGTTAAGATAAGATAAGATAAGATAAGATAAGATAAGATAAGATAAGATAAGATAAGATAAGATAAGATAAGATAAGATAAGATAAGATATATTTTATCGTACCCTAAGGGAAATTTGTTGCTGGCAGATGTGCAGTGACTGCAAGACACACAAACACATTAAGAAAAAAAACAGTCCCAGTATAATTGTCAACAAATTAAACAGTTGAACTGAAACATGACATCTGAAACTACATACAGTGAATTAGCACCAAAGATAAAAATATTTCACATCCAACACAGCTCAACTTCATTGATATCATAAAACCAACAATAAAGACAATTGAAATTTGTTTTAAAATAAACAATATCATAATCAACATATAAGATTAAAAACAATAATCAAGGTTTGTTGAGAAAAGAAATGGACGATGGAAGAAAGGATAGTTTAAAACGGTTAACTTTGCAACAAATTGCTCTGTAGCGTTTCCTCGAAGGTAATACTTCGTGATCTGCAAACAGAACATGAGACGGGTCCTGCAAGATCCATTTTGCCTGTTTGATCACAGTGTCCTCATAGACAGACTGCAACGGCTGAAAATGTGACCCAATTATTTTCATTGAGGTTTTCATTATATTAATGAGTCTAGACTTGGACTTTACAGTGAGCCGAACCAAACACCCATGCCATATCTGATTGTACTGCCAAGAACAGCGTTATAGAAGATCTGCATGGACAACAAACAGCTATTTTTCTTTGATATGACCACGAGTCATGAATGTGTAACCAGGTGACCACACCCTCAGGTAACTACGGTCTGTGGGACCAGCACGCCGCCATCTCCTGGGTTCGCAGGAACATCAGGGGCTTTGGAGGAAACCCCGACAACCTCACCATCTTCGGCCAATCAGCTGGAGCCGCCAGCGTCAGCTTCCAGGTCAGAGGTCATAACGCGTGTCAATCACAGCGATTTCCACTTTGTCCAAACGTCCTGCTGATCTGAGCTGATCGTCCTGCTGATCCCGGCTGTTCTGTGAACCAGTCGTGTTTTCATGTGTTTGGCAGATGCTGTCCCCCTACAGCAAAGGTTTGTTCCGCAGAGCCATCACTCAGGGCGGAGTGGCCCTCAGTCCCTGGGCTCTGCAGAAGAACCCCATGGCTCTCACCAAGAAGGTTTCCTGCTGAGCACGACACAAACATCAACATCTTACCTGAAGCTTCTCACACAATCCATCAAATACTTCAAAACATCCCCAGTAAAAAGAACTTCAACCAAAACATGATTAATATTTCAAATACTTGAAATTTTATAAGTTTACTATACTTACCAGGTATGTGCCAGACCACATACTTTACTTGCTACAAACTAACATTCAATGTACTAGGTATGTACCTCATGCCTCTAACCAGTTGGGAAGTACCAGGTACTTGGTAAAATTTAATTACTTAGTGTATGGCAAGTTTGTACTGTGTTCATACTGGATATTTTCCGAGAACGCACTTGGTAAGTACTGTGTAGGGAAATACTTGATAAATTGTATGTTGGTGTGTAGCAGGTACATACCTGATAAGTACTTGGATACGTACTGAGTTCTTACCTGTAAATACCAGTTTTTTACTTGGTACGTACAGAATACATATCGAGTAAGTAGCAGATACCTAATAAATACTTAGTATTTACTGGATAGGTACTTGGACCTTACAGAATACATATCAAGTAAGAAGCAAGTACCTAATAAATACTTAGTATATATTAGGTAGGTACTTGGTACGTACAGAATACATGTCGAGTAAGTAGCAGGTACCTAATAAATACTTAGTATTTACTGGGTATGTACTCATACTTACAGAGTACATATCAAATAAGTAGCAGGTACCTATAAATACTTAGTATTTACTGGGTAGGTACTTGTTACGTACAGAATACATATCGAGTAAGTAGCAGGTACCTAATAAATACTTAGTATTTACTGGGTATGTACTTGGTACTTACAGAGTACATATCAAATAAGTAGCAGGAACCTATAAATACTTAGTGTTTACTGGGTAGGCACTTAGTACTTGCAGAGTACATATCGAGAAAGTAGCAGGTACCTAATAAACACTTAGTATTTACTGGGTATGTACTTGGTGCTTGCAGAGTACATATTGAGTAAGTAGCAGGTACCCTAGCTGGTTTCTATCTGGTACAGACCAATATAATATTCACCAGATTAGTAATAATGACAGGGTACATACTTGGTAAGTACTCTGTAAGTACCAGGCTTTACTGTGTATTTCTACAGAACTAAAGAAGTGAAAAGTACAACAGACCACTGGTTCAGTGAAACAGGTTGTTTGTACAGATTGCTCGGAAGGTTGGCTGCTGGAGAACTGATGAAGATGAAATGCTGACATGTCTGAAGATGAGCGACCCGGTTGGTTTGACCATGGCGGGAAAAATCGACATATTGCTCATTCTGGGCAAAGGTGAGAACACAAGCACAGCTTTGTGCACAAACTCAACTCAGTCTGAACCGCCCAGGTGCTCAGGTGTTCCAGGTCCTGTTCAGGTGTCGTCATGGACATGCTGGAGCTCTCTCCAGTGGTTGACGGTGACTTCCTGCCTGATGAGCCCAGTAACCTGTTTCACAACGCGGCTCAGTTCGATTACCTTGCCGGGACGAACAGCATGGATGGACACATATTTGCGGGAGTCGATGTTCCGTCCATCAACAGCAAAAAGGCCAACACCACAGCGTGAGTCCTGGAGCAGCACAGCAGTTCTTTATCAACTAAAATGTGTTATTGATGAGTTATAATATTCAGCTGGTTTTAGTCCCTCAAGGCTCATTCTTCGGCCCATTAATGTTTAGCTGTTGAATCAAAATCATCCCAACCTGTAAAAAGAACAAGAATCCAGAGAGCAGACTGGTTTCTCACAGCGTTAGGAGGTTATTTTAAGATGTGTGACCTGGTTCTGTTTCCTCCTCAGAGAGCAGGTCAAAGGTCTTCTGACAGGTTTGACTAAAGAGAAAGGGGATGCTGCCGTCCCCTCGGCCTTCAGCGTTTATTCGGTTCACTGGGGTTTGGCTCCAGATCCGGCTATCGTGAAGAAGACAGTGGCCGACATTGAGACAGACTTCCTGTTCCTGGTCCCGACCCAGATTGCCCTCCAGCTCCACGCCAACAACTCGAGGTTAGCAATAATTGATCTCACTCATTTTATTTATTTGATATCACAAACTGATTCTAAACATGAGTTCAGTTTGGACTCTAACACTGATTTTAACTGACCCATAGGGCTTTTTGTCCCTCAGTGGTGCCGGTACTTACTCGTACCTGTTCAACATGAAGACTCGAATTCCTGGATTCCCCCGCTGGGTGGAGGCGGAGCATGCTGAGGACTTGCAGTACTTGTTTGGTAAACCGTTCTCCACCCCGCTCGTCTACTTCCCCCGACACCGAGATCTGTCCCGCTACATGATCGCCTACTGGACCAACTTTGCCAAGACTGGGTAAAACCCCAGAATGCATTGCACACAAAGACAACATTACATCAACAGAACCAGCAAAATATGGACTTCACGGGTTTACGGACCTGTGGATTCCAACTATCCTGCTGGACAGTTATATTTGGAAATTATTTCTCTCTTAGTTTATTATGAAGGTCTAAAGTGGTCCAAAAAACAAATTGGAACTGGTCCTAAGTGGTCTGAACTTTTCTGAAAGTTGTTAAAACTGGTTTGATTTAATTTGGTCTGGTTTGATTTAACTGGTTTAAACTTGTCTGTACTGGTCTAAAAGCTGGTCCTAACTGATTTGTACTGGTCTAAAAGTGGTCCTAACTGGTTTGAACTGGTCTAAAAATGACTCTAACTGATTTGTACCAGTCTAAAAGCGGTCCTAACTGATTTGTACTGGTCTAAAAGCGGTCCTAACTGGTTTGTACTGGTCTAAAAGCTCGTCCTAACTGAAATGAACTGGTCTAAAAGTGATTCTAACTGATTTGAACTGGTCTACAGCTGGTCCTAATTGATTTGAACTGGTCTAAAAGCGGTCCTAACTGGTTTGTACTGGTCTAAAAGCTCGTCCTAACTGAAATGAACTGGTCTAAAAGCAGTCCTAACTGGTTTGAACTGGTCTACAGCTGGTCCTAACTGATTTGAACTGGTCTAAAAGCGGTCCTAACTGATTTGTACTGGTCTAAAAGTGGTCCTAACTGATTTGTACTGGTCTAAAAGTGATTCTAACTGATTTGAATGGTCTAAAAGTGGTCATAACTTATTTGAACTGGTCTAAAGCTGGTTGTAACTGGTTTGAACTGGTCTAAAATGATTTGAACTGGTTTAAAATTGGTTCTAGGTGGTCTGTACTGGTCTAAAAGTGGTTCTAACTGGTTTGAACTGGTCTAAAGCGGGTCCTAACTGATTTTAACGGGTCTAAATGTGGTCCTAACTGATTTTAACGGGTCTAAATGTGGTCCTAACTGATTTTAACCGGTCTAAAAGTGGTTCTAACTGGTTTGAACTGGTCTAAAGCAGGACCTAACTGATTTGAACTGGTTTAAAAGCTGGTCCTAACTGATTTGAACTGGTCTAAAAGTGGTCCTAACTGGGTCTAAAAGTGGTTCTAATTGGTTTGAACTGGTCTAAAGCTGGACCTAACTAATTTGAATTGGTCTAAAAGCTGGTCCTAACTGATTTTAACTGGTCTAAAAGCAGTTCTAACTGGTTTGAACTGGTCTAAAGCTGGACCTAACTAATTTGAATTGGTCTAAAATCTGGTCCTAACTGATTTTAACTGGTCTAAAGCTGGTCCTAACTGATTTGAACTGGTTTAAAAGCTGGCACTAGCTGGTTTAAACTGATCTGAACTAGATTGAACTGGCCTAAACTTTTCTGGGGGCGGTAAACTTTTTTAAACATCTGCTCTCTTCTCTTCAGTGATCCCAACAGAGGCGGCAGTCGTGTCCCGGTTCCTTGGCCAGTTTTCACTAAAACCCACCAGCCGTACCTGATCATCAACGATGAAATGAGCAAATCTTCAGTCAGGTACGGTTCTGCTGACCTGAGCTGGATTTCATGGTTCCAGCCGTTTTAACGTGACGTCTGCTCTGCGTCCTCAGCTACGACCTGAGGGCGTACTACGTGAGGTACTGGACTGAGACCTACAGCCACCTGCCGCCAGCGTGAGAGGAAGAGGAGGAGCAACTCGGACCACCTGTTGGTTCAACATGGCGTCTGGAAGTTTCTGTTCATGTCCAATAAATTAAGGTGAAATCTTCTCTGTTGATCGTTTTTACTTTGTTTTGTAAACAGAAAAATGTAGAAAATGTATCTTTTTTTGTTAACCTCAGAAAGTTACAGTCCACCACTGAAAGGTGTGTGTGCCTGTTAGCAAAATATCTCATGAACTACTGAACAAAACTGACCGCATCCCACTGAATAATCCTTATATAAACATTTACAACTTCTTCACTTTTAAAGCCAGCTCTAATGTAAGATGGCCACCACAGAAACACTGAAATAAACTGTGAATTTGCATTCATAACACTCAGAGTTGTGAAACCGGAGCAGTTCCGTTAGAGGCGACACGGCCGGCTGCAGGACTTCTGGGTCTGGGTTCTGATGAGGCCACCAGGGGGCCCGGGTCCAGCTCCTGATGTGCTTTAAGGTCTTTTATTCAGCTCTGAGAGCACAGAAGGTGCAAAAACAAAGTAAAATCAAAACGTGCACCCAGATCTGAATAAAATCTGAAATAAAAACAGGAGGAGGAGGGGGGAGGAGGAGGAGGAGGTTCAGACTGAAGGAGGAGGTTCAGACCGTCAGTTAGTTCTGCGTTACATGTTGCAACACAGCGCGAGGACAGGAAGCACACATGACACACGCAACGACTTTCTGCATCACACTGATACCACAGAAGGAGGTGAGGCGCAGCAGGAGACGCAGAAACTCTCCAGCCTGGAGCCAGTCGAGCCCGTCCACAGCTGAGGAGGAGGAGAAGGAGACGAGGAGAGAGGAGGAAGTTCCAGAAGAAGGAGAAGACCCGAACGAGGAGTCGAACGCTCGACTTTTAAAGAGTGCCAAAAAGGAGGAAACGAGGAGCAGAGGAATTAAAGGAGACAAACATCCAGGAAGGTGGAGCAGCAGGAGGAGCAGAGGACAAAGAGAGGAGGAGCTGTGGTGCCGTGATGGAGGAGGACATCAGGAAGAAAGGGATGCTCTTCCTCCAGCAGCAGCGTTTTGGAAAGGTAAAACGTTGGTGACGTCACTTCCTGTTACCTTCCGAGCCGCTGTGTCAAACTGTTGTGTGTTTTTTGTGTGTTTTTGTGTGTAGAAGTGGAAGCGGGTTTGGTGTCATCTGTACCGGGACAGCTCCTGCTCCATCTCCAGGATGGAGTTCTTCGAGTGCAAAGACGGCGCCAGCGTGGAGAAGAACGACAAAACTCTGCGCAAACAGCAGGAGCACAAGAAGGTAAGGCCCCGCCCTCCCCTCCTCCCCGTCGCCGCTACCGTGGAGATAACGCCCCCATCTGTCCAGGTGATCCGTATGTCCGACTGCATCCGGGTGACGGAGGTGGAGATGGACGGGTGTCCCCGGGACACGGGGTCCTTCCTGGTGGAGACCACCGAGAAGATCTACGTGTTCGCCGCCGACAGGAGCCAGCTGGACGACTGGACGCACAAACTGTGTGAGATCGCCTTCCCTGTAGGTACACACACACACACACACACACACACACACACACACACACACACACACACACACACACACACACACAATGTGCACAACCTCACGCTCAGAGCACGTGTTCAGGATGACTCTCAGCTACTACTTTGGGGTGCCGTTTGTAAAGTTACACAGTCAAAAATTACCACCAATA